CACCAGGAACTCACGTGGCTGAAGAGCTCGTTCGTCAACCCGAGGTAGTTGTGCAAAGCCAAGAAGGTGACGCGTTGGAGGCGCACCATGATGATCTACGGGGGGGACAAGAAGCCATCACACCCAACACACCCCTCCCCCATGGTCCTCTGGGTCCCCTGACGCCCCCCCCGTGCTCCCCCCAACCCTCCCCAGGCCTGGACTCACCTGCACCACCCGCACCAAGCTCTCGGGGTACTTCTCGAAGACGGCCGAGAAGGCTTCAACCGGCAGCCGAAGAACGGTGGAGTCCACCGCCGCCCGGGCACACACCGTCCGGTACGGTCGCTGGTGGCCCTAGGGGACACGTTGGTGGCCTTGCTGGGATGGGGGAGGTCCATCCCGGCCATGGATGGGGGCTGGTGGCAAGCTGGGGGATGGTGAAGTCTGCTGGGGGCACTGAGTTGTTGGCCAGTTGGGTTTGGGGATGGCCATGGTTGGGCTTGGGGATGGCCATGGTTGGGCTGGTTGGGCTTGGAGATAGTTGGTGGGGCTTGGGGACAGCCAAGGTTGGGCTGGAGGGGTTTGGGGATGGCCATGGTTGGGTCAGAAGGGTTTGGGGACCGATGACCTAGAGATGGCCACAGTTGGCCTGGTGGAGGTTAGGGATGCCCACAGTTGGCCTGGTGGGGCTTGGGGATGGTCATGGCTGGGTTTGGGGATGGATGGTCAAGGTTGGGCTGGAGGAGTTTGGGGATGGCCAAGGTTGGGTTTGGGAATGGTCATGGTTGGGCTTGGGGATGGCCATGGTGAGGCTGGAGGGGCTTGGGGACCACCACAGTTGGGCTTGGGGGTGGCCACAACTGACCTGGGAGGGTTTGGAGACAACCACAACTGTCCTGGTGGGAGTTGGGGACAACCACAACCAGGCTTAGGGAGCTTGGGGACAGTTCATAACTGTCCTGAGAGGGCTTGGGGACAACCACAACCAGGCTTAGGGGGTCTTGGGGGACAACCAGGATCAAGGCCTGGGGGTTTGGGGATGGCCATGATCACACTGAGGGGGCTTGGGGACAGCCACAACTGTCCTAGGAGGGCTTGGGGACAACCACAACTGTCCTAGAAGAGTTTGGGGACAACCACAACTGTCCTAGAAGAGTTTGGGGACAGCCACAACCAGGCTCTGGGAGTTTGGGGACGGCCATGATCACGTTGAGGGGGCTTGGGGACAACCACAACTGTCCTGGTGGGAGTTGGGGACAACCACAACCAGGCTTAGGGGGTCTTGGGGGACAACCAGGATCAAGGCCTGGGGGTTTGGGGATGGCCATGGTCACATTGAGGGGGCTTGGGGACAACCACAACTGTCCTGAGAGGGCTTGGGGACAACCACAACCAGGCTTAGGTGGCTCAGGGACACCCAGGATCAAGCTCTGGAGGCTTGGGGACAGCTACAACTGTCCTGAGAGGGCTTGGGGACATTGGGGACGAGTTGGGGGGGACACTTGGGGACAGTCGGTACCGTGATGACGTCCAGGATGCTGAGCAGACTGTGCACGCTGTCCCCGGGGAACACCTCCTTCATCACCGTCTCCTTCCCGTCCTGCCAACCACAAACCCCCTCTTGGTTCTTCCCATCCTCGTCCCCCTGCCACGGTGTCCCCAACCTCCTGCCACGGTGTCCCCAACCCCCTGCCACGGTGTCCCCAACCCCCTGCCAGGGTGTCCCCAACCCCCCGCCACCTCCTTGTCCCCGTCCCCGCACCGGCTCGCTGAGGAACAGCTCCAACTTCCCATCCTGCAGCACGTAGATGCTGGTGTCGGGTTGTCCGGGACGGAAAACGTAGTCACCTTGTTGGCATTCCTGGAAAACCATGTGCTTGCAAAGCTCCAGGAACAGGGGCTTCTCGAAATGGCCCAGGACCCTGCGGGGACAAGGATGGGGACAGCAGGTGACAAAGAGCCCACCAGGAGCTGGTCTGGTCCCTCTGGAGCCACCCCCAGTGGCCACGGAGACGGGGATGAGGAGACACGGCTGGAAAACCACGAGCTCGTAAAGATCCAGGAACAAGAGGAAAGTGGCTCCACCGTGGATCCTGACCCCCCCAGGAGCAGGTCCTCACCCCCAGGACCGATCCTGACCCCCCCAGGATGGATCCTGACCCCCCCAGGACCCGATCCTGATCCTGGGGACTGATCCTGACCCCCGGAGATAGATTCTGACCCCCCTGAGGCCTGATCCTGTGCCCCCCCAGGACAGGGTCCTCAACTCCAGGATGGATCCTGACCCCAAAGGATAAATCCAGATCCTGGGACCTGATCCTGAGCCACCTGGGACCTGATCCTGACCCTTTGGGGCCTGATCCTGACCCCCAAGGATGGATCCTGACCCTGGGACCCAATCCTGACCCCGGGACCCAATCCTGACCCCCAGAGATAGATCCTGACCCCCCTGGGGCTGGATCCTGACCCCCAAGGATGGATTTAGACTCTGGGGCCTGATCCTGACCCCCCCCAGGACAGGGGCCTCACCTCCAGGATGGATCCTGACCCCCACGGGTGGAC